TAAAATGAACCGAATTGTTCTAAAGAGATACTGACCAGAGTGTGAACTTCGAGTTTCCACGTCCCACGAGGGTTTTCTCCCCAATGTCCTACGCTGATGAACGGCCATTGTGAGAGACCATCTGGAGAGTCGTCGTTCTTTCTTGGTTGTAACAGCTGAATAGTACAGCCTGAAACACGAGTGAATTGAAAAGAACGTCTAAGTTTAGGTCCCATCTTCGAATTCCATGCTTAATTAATTTTTCCTTCTTATTTTATCTTCGTATCAGTAGCTGTGTTGAAAGTACCGTGCGTCCTGACCGTATGGGTGGAGACACAGAACCTTGGTTCCTCAATGATACGCCTCTCCTCCCAAGGCGGTCAAGGAGAGCAACGCGCCAATGAGTGAGACATACTGACTACACCCATATGACGAGCGTGGAATAGGCTTACGCTAATGCAAAAAGGAATTAGGAATCGAAAAGAATGGGACCAGTTAATTCCAAAACAGTGCACTGACCGGCAGGGCTAGTAAGGTACAAGGAGATGAGTCCCCGTCGTGGATGCTCCATCGAAACATCGAGTTGCAGCCGTTCGAGCCAGTTCACCTCACCTGAGGTTCCTGCGCAGCTCTCAAATGGCAATTCGATGGTCAAAGGCGAGCCTACAGCAAAGCTTCTGAAATGGTTATCAGGTTGCTGTGATGCTCAAGACCAGGTGGCATGTTCAGAGAAACGAACCCATTCAAAACGTTGAACTGTCGGCTGCAACTCGACACGGGCGGGACGTTCTTCCAGTGCCGAGCTGACGTGGTTAGCCTTAGCGCGTTTAGTACGCCAAAACCGAAGTGTCTCGAGAAGTGCAAGCCTAGAACTTTCCTGGAAGATGGTTTATCATTATTCGGGATTATTACTCTAGCCATAGGGCCGAGAAAGTAAAGCGGCCGGCGGCGACATCGATAGCCGCGCTTGCCTGGAAAGCGTGAGGTGCGGGTTCAGATAGTGTCTCAGAATTTTACCCATATTGTGAACTGTTGTAGTACCCTTTGGAAGAGTTTCAATGATACCTACTTCGCTGGGATTTGAAGGCACATTCCACGCTGACCGCAAGGTAGAGGGAGAGAATCACCTCACTGGCGCACCGCCCTAGAATGAGGGGCAGTCTAGTGGAGATGGTACAATATATCTCTATTTCCGCCCGTATCTCCGCCCACGTGGGTATCGCGAGATGTAGCAGTGAAGCTGCCTCAACTCTACAGTGAGGAGTGAGGCTAAGCCCTCTGCAACTCTTCTAGAGTAAGCTTCTCAAAAATTGTGCGGGCATTCGAGACCAAACAAAGGTAACAAGGTTGAGGTGACCTACAGAATATAGTTCGCCTGACCAAACTTTTTACTTTCCCAGGCAATAGCTGTACAAATACGGCTGCTCACGGTGTATTTTGAGACTAACCTGCTCCATTAATGATCCAATGGTCAGGAGAAGAGCTCACGAGATGTCCACTTTCGCTAGTACGGACGATCAGGTGCTGCACGTCTCGCTGTGAAAGCGAAGGGCTGAGAAGTGTAGATTTCACCTACGCATTCATTACCCATCCCCAAGTAAGCAAATAATGACATTTTATTTTGAATTCACAGCCACGCCTAGCGAAGAATTTTTACTTCTTGCTCACCTGACTGTTATTTGTTTGAAGACTAATAAGTAATCAATAATTATAAAAAATCCTGCTTCTATAAAAACCTACTTGGCTTCGAGGGCTAGAGCAAGTACACCAGCTGCAAGGGGTGCTGCTGCAGAAGAGCCTGCGAATGATGTGCACTTGTTGTCGACGTCAGTGGTTACCTGGAATCTGTAAACTAGATAGCAGTCGTTGATGGGCGCTGCGGTCGCGAAGCGGAAGAAATGCCAGTTTGCGGCTAGGCACCGCTTTGGGGAACTGTCTCGAGAAGGGGCAAAGCTACGCTGCAGCTTTCGTTCACGTCTTGGGAGCCTTATGCGTCTTGACGCTAAGGTAGTTGGATTGGGGAGGGGACCACTCGCCAGCTCCTTTTCTTTGATCAGCGCCCAGTGGGAACTATGTCTTCTCTACAGTTCATCGGTGGCTCTAGTCGTCTGCGCTCATAGCCTAATGAGAAAGAAGTAGACATGGGTAGAAAAACGACAGCAAAGTAGCCATCGTTCCCTTCAACCCTGACATTGCAAGCCCTTTCGAGGCAGTGGGCGCAGATTCCTGATTGGGTGGTCCACGGCCCTTGCTCCCCCCCCCCTCCCGGCTACATTAGAGCCTGCTTCTTCCTGTAATCTCATGTCTTTACAATAATCTGTTCGCTGCAATCAAACGTCCAACAGCTCTTCCGCCCCCTGAGCCCCCCTGGATTGGTCTTGAACTTGGCCAATGTCTTCGAATGGAAACATACAACTGTCTCAGAAGTAACGCACCATGCCGTTGGTCATCGTTGTGCCTTCGCTTATCGATGCTATCACAGCACTGCATCCTTCGGAATACCATGGAGGAACACCGGTAGGTGTCGCGACACCAAAAGTAATCTCAAAAATGCAATTTCACTCGCGATCCTCAAAATGTCGAAGCCTTAGCAGGCTATAGAAATAAGAGAATAATTACCGTATGTAGGTTGCTAACGTATCCATCCATAGCGCAATCATCTTCTTGCAGGCCACCATTTCCGCTAGCCCACACGTAAAGAGAGCCAAGCCCTTTTCGACCCTGAAAGGCAAATACAGTTTTGAAATTTCGATTAAGCAAATGAGCTACGGCTCATTCCACGGTGCTCGTAGGGGCGGAGTCACGAGTATCATTGTGCCTATCTCGATAGCGAGACTGTTCTTCACACGCATCAGAATGGTAAGTACTTGACGTTCTACGCCCATACGATCAACATGGACCATGCCCTCAAGCAAAGCTCAAACCTCACATGAACGGCGCCAAACTCGATTGCTCTTTGAGCTAAGAATCCTGGTCGCTCAGCAGATCGACCGTCATCCTTTGGTCCCCAACTGACTGAGTAAATGTCAATGCCTGCAGTGTATTTTAACATACTTCAGTCATTCATAAGGACTATTCTATTTATTTTATTCGATTTATTTATTTCACACAGCTCGGTCAGCATTTTCCTGTTAAATACACTGAAATACCGTACGCGTTAATTCTGACTGCCTCATTGAGAGGTGGAATGAATTTTGCTGGCTTTTGTGATGCATGAAAGCAATTAAAATAATGATCCGACAAAAGGAGCCCAGAAGTCGTTCATGATACCCTTTCACTAACGGCAACATTTATGCCCAGAACCCTCGAGCCCCATTCCCAAAATCTGTTGATCTATATCAACCGTTAAAAAGCTCACTTGTATGCGAGTGCATCTCCTTCAACAGCGTCATTAAGGAATTGATTTTCGGCAAGCACTGTCAATCCTGGAAAGCAACTTCTGATGTTCGAAATTGTTCCCAAGGAAAATGGGGAGAGTTTTTAACCCGTGAGATGATGTAGCGCAAAGCGGCTCTGCACACTGCCGGAATTGCCGGAATTGAATCCCGACTCGGCTCCAGTCCAGGCCAACGAAGTCTACTTACTGCGGTCGGTAAATTGGTGCCAGAATTGTGCGGGAGGGTTAACCCGACCGTTTAATGACCTCCGGACGACTTTTACATAGATCTTCTAGTCTTCTGGAGGTCACTGTATGGCCATACCGCCTTCCATAATTCACCACGAAGTTTAGTGTTTGTGGCGCCCTAACCTCATATATGGCAGAAGTTCCTTCCCTTCGGACTCAATTTGCAATTATTTTAGTTTTGAGTGAAGTTTTCGGCTCACCCTTACTTTATTGGCATCAAGGTACAGCATCGTGAGGCGTGAATCGGTGTTGTCAGCACTCCCCCGCCCCCGATTTCCCCGTGTGGTGCGACCCCCTCCCAGCGACTATGACCCCCGGATGAAACTCTCCCGAATGCTGCACCTTGTTTGAGGATGTGCCACTGTCACTCCCCTTGGATTCAGAGTAATTAATGCAATTCCAGGAGGAGGTCCGAGGGCTTGACCCCTGGATTCTTCTCATGATAATTACTCCAGTTGTCACTATATCACCGCCACTCGATTTCTAAGATATACTTCCAAGTTACCTCCAATTCGAGAC